CCGGGCGGGCGGGGGCGGATCGCGCCGCAGGTCCGGAGCGAGCGGAGGCAGCGGCCGGGGCGGGCCGGGCCCCGCGCGGTGAGGCGGCCGCCGAGGCCGCGGCGTTTCCTGCAGGCCCCGCCCGCCCCTACTCACCGTCCCGGGCCGTGCCCATGAGCTGGTCCAGCAGGGCCCGCATCTGCGCCTGGGCCGACATGGCGAGGCCGGGCCGGGCCGGGGGCGGCGGCTCCGACCGGGCGGGGCAGAGACTGGCACCGAGAGCGGTCCCGGGTCCCGGGGCCTGGGGCGGCGGCGGCGGCTCCGCGGCGGCGACGGCGGCGGGCGCTGGGCGGAAGCAGCCACACCCTGCGCCGCGCGGCACGACGGGAACGGTAGTCCGCCTGGGGGAGGGGGATGGGCGGGGCTTGAGGGGAGGGGTGGGCGGGGCCGGAGCGAAGGGGCGGGAGCGGAATGAAGGGGGCGGGGCCGAGGCGAAGGGACCCGGAGGGGCGGGGAATGGATGAGGGGCGGGCGGAGGGGCGTGGTTCTGGCAGGGGGGCGTGGTCGCGTCAAGGGGCGGGGCCTGGCGAGGGGGCGGGGCTGGTCGGGGACAGTCACGGCCCCCCCAGGCCTGGTACGCCCCGCCGGGATCGGGCCCGTCACCGGCGCTGCCCCGGGAGATGCCCCGGGACCTGCCCTGGGGCTGGGCGGGTGTGGTGGGCACACTAGCCGGGCCGCGGCGGGGCTAGGCTGCGCTGGCTGCCGTCCGTCCCCATGGCACTGTGACAGCGGGGGACCACCGTGGGGGAGGTGGGGAGGGTACTGGGGGTAAGGAAAGCCCCTGCTGGGGGTTGGTGGTGATGGGATGCATGGCTAGGACAAGCGGGAGCAGCGAGAGGCAGGATAGATGCACGGACAAGGGGATACAGCGGCGAGGGGATGAGGACGGGACAGCACAACCCAGGACAGCCCAGCACAGGACAGAACAGCCCAGGCTGCGGGAGGGGGATAAGGCCGTGGTTTTGTAGCGGAGCTTGGGCTGTTGCAGAGCTTTGCCGGGCTCTGGGTGCCCTGTCCAGCTTTCTGAGCTCCATCTGCAGCCCCCAACACCCCGCGGGATTCACCTCCATCCCTTCACCACGAGCTCCCCGCCCCAGCTACCCTCCCACCGCCCCTTTGTGCTGCCGCAGGGCTACAAAGGCAGCGAGGGCTGGTGACGGAGCCCTGCCTTACAGGCCGCTCTGTTCTGCCATAATCATGCCTGTTTTTCCCCATCTTAAATCTTCAAAGCTCCGTTGGCTTTAAGGGACCAGCAGCGTGTGCCAGCCCCAAGCAGGGGGTGCAGGATCAGCCCTCGAGTGAGGGCTGCGAACGCCCTGCTTGTCTGTGGGGTCTCTGGAGGCAGGAGACCCTTTCCCTGTGCAATGGGAGCTCCTCGTGCCTGGCCCTGGCAAAGCCTGGAGCAGGGATGGCCAACCTGGGCCCTCAAATGGGTGCAAAACCATGTGCCCAAGCCTGCTGCAGGGGCAGTGGCATTGCCTCTCCCTCTGGCTCACCCCAGAACAGTCCTGCTGAGCCTTGGGTGCTCCATAAATGCATGTTATTCCTTCCCACAGAGGATGGACACCTCATCACTCCCAAATCTGTGAACCAAGTCTTGTGCTCCCCACACCCTGCCTCACCCCTGGAGCCCCTCGCCAGCAAGACCAGACCCGTCCCACCCAGACAAAGGGCTGGTGCAGCCCTTATCTCCCAGCCAGGCTGAGCCAGAGGCTCTGTGAGCTGTCCCCAGCTCCTGCACTGCAGGAAGATGGTCTGGGGCAGCAGTGGCTGGGAACACCAGAGGAAGCTCCCCTTCCCTGTGGACCCCGGTGGTGGGATCAGGCTCCCCAGGGATGCAGCCGGTGGCCACGTCAAGCCGTGCCGGGCGGGTGGGTGACAATGAGTGATGTCAGGGAGTGGCCCGGAGGGTGCCCGGGGCTTATCAGCCCCCACCCGCCGTGTTTGCCCAGTGGTGCCCAGGCGGGATGGCTGATGCCTGATGCCTGATGGCTGCTCCCTCCGGGCTCTGCTAATGGGAGTGTTTGGAGAGAGGAGAGGGAGTTCTAGGGAGCCGGTGCTCCCGCAGGGTGTCCCGAGGCTACCGGCCCGGGGAGGGGGTGGGTGCAGCCAGTGCTGCACCGTGCCGGGGGCTGGGGACCCCACCTCGGCACCCAGGGACAGCTCAGGGTGCTCGGGGCAGGGGGCAGGAAGGGCTCCGAGGGAGCTGTGGTCACCCCAAGAACAGGAGAGCAGGGCAGCTCTGTAGCAGGGCTGTGCCTGTCCCCAACCCCCACAGCCTTTGTCCCGACTCCCTGTGTGTCCCCAGCACTGGTGGCAGAGTCCAGGCACTGTGTCAGGCCCATCCTGCTGTCATGGGCAGGCTGCCCTGTGTCCTCTGGCCATCCCATGTCCCCGGGCACCCTGCATCCCCCAGCTATCCATGTCCCCTGGCCGTGTTCTGTGCTGCCCCAGACAGCCCTGTTGGCACATCCCACTGCCAAAGCAAAACCAGGACCTCTGGCACAGCCTCCTTGTGATCTGAGCTGATTCCCATCGTCACCATCCTCAGCCCCTCGGGTACTGTGTGGGCCAGCAGGGCCACAGGCCATGAGCAGAGACACGGGGCACCCCAGTGCCCCATTCACAGTGACAGTGCTGCCATCCAAGTGTTGTGGGGCTGGCCCAGCCATTCTCTGCACAGCATGTTCACCTTTGTATGCACAGGTTCCAAAACCCCTCCTGAGGCTGGTCAGGGAGCCTGACATCCACCTTGGGGGGGGGCATAAGGATTGAGATGGGGGGTCTGAACCTGCAGCACCTGGGTGGACCCCACAGAGAGGCTTTGCCCACTGCAGCGGCAGCCCCTGTTTGCAGAGGCATCGCTCCATACACAGTATGTTCTTCAGAAGATCCCTACTCCAGGAGTCAAAATAGCATGAAATTTAATTTTACGCCTATTTGACAAAGCTTGATTTCGCCTCCAATCAGCGGGGAGATAAGAGCCCTCGGCACAAGTGTGCGGGCAGTTTGGCAGCTGGGGCTGCCGATTTAATAGGTGAATTTACAGGGACAACACTTGAAAATCCCCTGGCTAGTGAACCATTAAGGTGAGCCCTGCCTTCCGTCCCCGCGTCCCTCCCCGCGCCGCTCTCCCGTTGCTGGGTGCTAAAGCAAACCCCGGCTCTGTTTACCGAGTCTACTATTACAATACGGCTACCAAATATTTGCCAGCCGCCAGCTCCCGCTCCGCTATAAATACTTCAGGCCCAGGTGGAGGGACGGGCAGGGGGAGCGGCGCGGGAGCCTTTGCATGGCCGGGCGGCAGCGCCAAGGTGAGTGTGAGCCGCGGCCCCCCGGGCGATGCCCTCCGGCACCTCGGTGTTTTCCCGGCTGAGGGTGGCAGTGGGGCGGCCTGACTCTGTCACTGGGGTGGCCCCACTCTGCTCTGCCCACAGTCTGGAGAGTGCCTCGGGTGTCTGAGCCCCCCACAGCCCACCCCAGGGCAGCACAGAGGCAGGGCCGGGGGGCCCGCAGTGGGGACAGCACTAAGAGGGGCGCACGGTGACCCCAGAGATGGCAAGGACAATCTCCTCGGCTGGGTATATGGCCCAGCACCATGTTTGGGGTGGCTGGAGCAGGACTGGTCCCCCAGGATTTGTGCCCTGCCAGGGCTGGGGCTGGAGTGATGGCAGTGCCAGGCTGGTGACCAGGGGTGCCCTGTAACAAGGTAGGGCTGGGGGCTCCTCAGCACAGGTAGCATGAACTACAGAGGGGTCTCATCCAGCTCAGCAAGACTCAGCCGTGGCTCAAGCCCACCAGGGTGGTGTGGGGAGGTGGTGAGTTCACCACATCACAGGGGAACCCACGAGGCCATCCTGTGAGCAGGACACGGGGCTCAATGTCCCTGATGCTGAGCCTGGGATGGCAGGGTGGGTGCTGAGTGCAGGGTGGGTGCTGAGCACAGGGTGGTGGGATGGGTGCTGAGATGAGCCCCATTCACCTCCATGCACAGCCCTGGGCTGAAAGGGAACATCCCACTGCCCAGCACCTCTGGGGGATGTCCCCAGTGCCCCCTGGCCCAAGGCTCAGGGCAACATTCCCATTGCCCTACATCCCATGACTTTGTGGGAACATCCCTGCTGCCCCATATGTCATGAGCCAGGGACGTTCCCATTGTCCCACATCCCATGGATTCAGGTGGACATCCCTGCTCCCCCACATCCCATGGCTTGATGGGGACATCTCTGCTGGCTGTTGGGGTTCAGTTAGGATATCCCCACTGCCCCATGTCCCATGGCTTGGGGAGGGGTGGCATCCCTGCTGCCTCATATCCCATGTCTTGGTGGGGACACCCCTGCTGCCTGCTGTCTCAGTGCTCAGTGGGGATGTCCCTGCTACCCCATGTACCAGGGGGAACATCTCCACTCCCCTATATCCCATGGCTTGGTGGGGACATCCCCAATGCCCCACATCCCGCTGCTCTTGTGGGAGACGATCCCACTGCCCTGCAGCCCCACCCTGGCCATGGTGTGGCACAATCTGCTGCCACCTCAGGGGTGCAGGGCCACGGTTTGGGGAGGATGCCACGGTGTGTCACCCTCACCCCGCTGTCCTGCCCGCAGAGTGAGCCCAGGCCCCGGGGTGGCTCTGAGCACTGACATGGCTGCAGGTGTCATCCAGCCCCTGGCCGAGCTGCGCCTGCCCTCGCCCTTCCCACACGGCCTCCTGCTGCCCACACATCCTGAGCCCGACTTCCACAACCTCTCTGAGGAGGAGGAGGAAGAAGAGGAGGAAGAGGAGGAGGAGGAGGAAGTGGAGGCAGCAGAGGAGAATGTGAGGCCAGAGCCGGCCATCTCCAGCACTGCCGAGACCACCCTGCGGCTCCTCAAGTTCTCGGAGCTCATCAGCTGTGACATCCAGCGGTACTTCGGGCGGCGGGGCCGGGAGGAGGCCGCCAGCACCCAGCCCGTGCCCAAGGACTGCGAGTCACCCCTGAGCGCTGGGGCCCAGCCTGAGGCCCCGCGGGGCAGCCCGGGGGCTGCGCACAGGCTGGGGCCACTGGCCGAGCTCTTTGAGTACGGCGTGCACCGCTGCCTGTCCCCGCGCGCGGCCGGCGGCCGGACACAGCGGCTGGAGAGGAAGTACGGCCACATCACCCCCATGCACCGCAGGAAGCTGCCGCCCTCCTTCTGGAAGGAGCCAGGCCCCGCCAGCCTTCTCCACACCAGTACCCCCGACTTCAGCGACC